TCCTGACGTTTCGCAAGCACGAGTGGCTTGCATCTTCAGAAGTGGTTTGCTTGAACGCTTACACTGTTCTCATCAGAACCCGCGTTCAGTTCTTCTGCAGAAGAAATTCCACCGAACGGCAGCCTAAAAACCCATTAGTTTCATGGGCACACAAAGTTTACAAGTCAAATACGCTCGGTTTTCAACTGAAACTTGTGCTCTTTATGCGCTAATTGGGAACAGTTCGCTTCGAAACATTTCAAACGTGTTGAAACCTAGAGAATTGTAGGGAATAATTCTCAAAATAATGCAAGTCTACAAGAATGTTGCACAGTTGGAGGAAACTAATTGAAAGTCGGGAGCAGAGCTCGTTTTAGCGCCCACTATGACAAATCTATAGGAAAAAATAATTGTCAGGTCTCAGTTTATAGCCAAACAATTATAAAGTCATTATTGCGACGACACTGTTGTCGCTCATTTTCAGCATATTTACACCGAAACCCACGCTGCCGAAATTGAAAAATTCGAAAATATTACGCTCCAGCCAAATTGAACGAACCCAAATGCTAAGGCCTCAGTTTTTCGCAAAACTGCCAACGTGTCAGTGTTTTGCTCGAGCTGATTGTGTAATTGCGGAATAAATCGCGTAAAATGATCCTTTCCAGAAATGTTTCCAGGGAACGGTTTCCCACTAGGCCTCAGGAATCGGCTCAGGCATGGGTAAGATCCAGAATTAAGCTCCGTTATTTACCGCTAACCAACATAGAAAAATCAGTTTGATTGTTCGGAAACTGGGCTTTAATTGCCCTATTTATTTCAAGTGCGTCACACAGAAGTGACGTAACACTCTGAATATACAGTGTTTTCGAATCTCCTGAATGATTTTTTCCTCGGAAAGCCCTTTCTGTTAAATCAAAAGAGATATACTTTCGAGACCATTCCACTGACTAATGGGTTTTTCGGGTTTTTAATCCGTCGTTCGGTAGAATTTCGTCGTCGAATAGAAACGTCAAGAAGAAATTCTACCGAACGACGGCCTAAAAACCTGAAAAACCAATCTAGAAGATAGCAAAATCTACAAGATTTCCAGTTCTTGTATTGAAACTGGTGAGATTTTTGGGGCTTTAGGCCGCAGAAGAAAACGATTTGTTTGCAACCACCGCAGCAAACCACCCTTGAAAAAATTTGTTCCACCACGACTAAAAATCCCGAAAATATTACCAATTTCTGGCAATCGTCGCAGTTAGGCTTGCGGTTAGGTCGAGCCCTAACTCGTGTAATTTGTTATTGGCACACCATATAAACGTGCAAAATTTCACAAAAGTGTGGGAACATTCAAACATTTTAGCAAAAATCTCTTTGGTATGTTTGGGCGGTTGTTTTCGTTCGATAAAGTTCAGTACTGATTGTAAACATTTCGGTGGGATCGAGAACTAAAATTAGATTTCTAAAAACAGGAACATTGACTGAAAATGTACCAGAAGCCGTGAAAAGTGGGCCGACGGCGCGGCCGTTTTTCCTTTAAACAAGGATTTTAAAGATTTATTTTTTATTTGGCGACTTTTACGACGTGTACTCCTTTGAAAACACAAGTTCGGCAAATAAACATGTAATTGTTCGCCAACATTTCAGCTGCCCGGGTAATGATTCTTTCATTTTTAGTGCTAAATAGTTGGATTCTTGGCAGATTATTGCCTGTTCATATTTATTTTGGACGACAACTCTTTCAGCTCGATTCGTGCGTACATGTTTTTCTGGAACACCTTGTATGAACCGGGCATCTCACTAATAACGTGAATGTCCGTTACTTTGCTAATACAATTTTTTTTAAATGTGAATCGCGATCAATTTAGTTGTTTTCAATTCCAAAACTGCACTCTTTTGGACTTTTTTTGCCTTCCAGTTAAGGATGTTAACATTTTCCATTGTTTTTCGTCATATTTATGTAATCGCCGTGTTTGTAACAGTGTCTTTCACATTTGTATTGTAGCCGTACCGAACCACACCCCTCGTACTTCCAGGGGCGAAAGTGAAAAAGGATCAGGGGCCGACGGAGAGTTATTTGCGCCATCATCCCAACCCAAGTGTGAGGGCGCCGCCCCATCATCTCGAACCGGGCCATAAGGTACTATTTCGCTTAATTTGGCTGCTAATTTCTGGAGGAACAAGAGCTGGCCTTAAGGATAACAATGCGTCGCTTGCGTATTGTAGGTTTATTTATAGCTTACGCAGTTTATTCTTCACTTCAGATCATTGTTGAAGCTTAAATATAAATTAAAGGTAGAGGTCGATCGGTCCGATCCGATTCGAACGTATTTTCGATAAAAATACTGATCGCCAGATGTATCGCACCGAACTACCCGAAATAGACCCAAGGCTGCGGATCATCAGTGGGAGTAAACTATACGGCAACTTATCCAGATTTTTGTGCCTCAATAATCAACCTCTTGCATAAGAGGTCAAAGTGTGGCTGCGGCATTTTTGCGCTAAAATTTGGCTGCACCAGTTAACTGCAAACTGCAGCTGCAGCTGCACCAAATGTGGGCAGTGCCCGCTTTTGGCACCCTTTGGAAATGAGCTTTTGCTCACAGAATAAAAATCTATGTTTGTAAATAGTTTCAATTTGCTTCTGTGCCAATAATACAAACTTTCAATTGTGTTCTGGCTCTGACGTTAGCGTTTGTTAGATAACTTTTTATGATATACCTACATTCTTTTGCTGTTTTTCCACCAAATATATACACGATGACCCAAAACAAGCCCCAACTAACCCAACCTAAAATCGACTTTTTGACCAACCGTGTAGCAGTTTGGGCCCTAATAATTGCGGTGGGTCCCAAAATCTTCCCCACTTGACCCACGAAACTCATAAAGAATGTGACTTTACGCTCATAAAGCAGGTATAGGAATTGGCAAATTTACACAAACTTTTAACAGCTCAGTGACCAATTCATCATCAGAAACTCGGCAAAAAATGATGACTGTGATGATGCCGAAAGCTTCACTGCTGCTCAAAAGATTTTTTTTCCAAGTCATAGTTAACAAAATTTCTGAATTTAATTCAAAATAGGTCTATAAACGCTTTATTGCCCATTTATATGATGTTGAACTTTTCAGAAAAATCGATTTAAATTCACTATTTAAACTCCAGTCAACTGGCCATCAAAATCCAAATATTCATAAACCTAATGGGGTTTTCGGGTTTTTAGGCCGTCGTTCGGTAGAATTTCTTCCTGAGGTTTCGCAAGCACGAGTAGCTTGCATCTTCAGAGGTGCTAAAGCCACTCGTGGCACACCTCTGAATATGCAAGCCACTCGTGCTTGCGAAACGTCAGGAAGAAATTCTACCGAACGACGGCCTAAAAACCCGAAAAACTCATTAGTTTCGAGGAATGGCCTCGAGAGTCTTTCTCCTTTGATATTCATAAACCTGTTTAAACACGCAACTGCTTCAACACAAATGCTACATTTAAACATGGTCCTGATACAAATTTCCTTTCGCCCTCAAACCTGTAGCTATTTTCTTGAAAACCTTCGATTTTTTTAGAACACAGCATAATCTCTATTGTTCTTTTCTAGATTGCAAGCTCAGTTTTAGACAGGATAAGTACTGGCGATCCGAACAAGCAGGTTAATAAACATGTTTTGTTGGTTTTCTCTCTTTTTACTATCAGGAACAGACACTCGAGCTGTCTGCACAACCTGCATGCGATTGGTTTCTGTTATTTCTATACCTCCCACTAAACCACTAGCTTTTTCCAGTTCTAAAAACCAACAGTTTTGTACATCTTCTGTGACCTATCGAATGCATTTCGTGTAAAATTCATGGGGAGCTTGAGGTACTGAATTCTTGTTGTTTTTTTTAGTTAATCCACAAGCAGTTTAACTCGCCCATCAATCTATACAGCGAGCCAAATGTTATGGATACTATTCACAAGCAGACCGGAGTACATGCGTGAGTATTTCCAGATTTTCAACAGAAATTTTTACAAAAATACAACCAAAATAAACAATTCGTTGTGAAATTTGTCCCTCGTAGTGTTCAGAAGCGCTCAGTGAAATTTAATCCAGCTGAGAGCGCCACTTATCAGTACCTGCAAGAGGAGGAGTTGGGAGGCTATGGGGGGCCGGCACAAGAGGTGACGGTACCGCCACAGAGCAAAATTTACACCCCAACCAAGGTAACAGACATTCAATGTTTGGTTAAGACCGCTTAGCTATCGCTCCATTGATGAATGCCTTTTCGAAAAGTAGGTGCTTTTTGTCACTTTTCACATGCTGACTTGTTTAGCTGAGTGCTGTATTGCTGTCCCATCGTTCAACAACAACCACTAAAACCATTTCCCGATAGGCGCAAAGTTTGTATAAACTTGCCTTCGGAATAGCACTGTTTCCGAAAAATCTGGAAAGAGTTTTGTTTCTAATCTCTATCACTATTTGAACATCTAGTCTTTAACAGAGACGGAAATCTTCAGCCACTTGCTTGATTAGTTTGTAGCTGCATAGAGTTCAAAGTAGACAACACAGTTAAACAAATAACTAGTGAATGTGTTGCGTTAACCGTTTTGTTTTTGAAGTTTTTTGCAATCTACGTTTAAACACACCCTAACATAATGCTCTGCGCAAGTATGAGTGAGTGTAAATGTTGTTAATCTGAAGACCCGTTTATGTGGTCGGATTTGATTTTTAGAAGCCAGCGAACGTAGTTAATCAATCGAATCCGGCGTATTTAACCGCAATTAACAACGATCCCGAAATCATCCAGCAAAGTGGATCATTTAGAAGGCTGATGATGTCCGTCTTGCCAGGCAGCAACTTTTAAAAATCCCCAAACCGACTGCAACCAAGTCGAACTGTGCCAATGCCGAAAGAACAACCGGACAACGGATAAATTCTAAATAACCATTTTCGAAATCCAACATGTAAGTTGTAACCGAAATACGTAATTGAGCCATTTGAGAGTCAGAAAACTGTTTTGTGTTGACGTTACGAACTTCTGAGGGTCCGAAAAAACATTAATGATTTCCTTTAATACTAATACAAACAACCTACTGTTAGTCTAGACTTAAGTGCATCTGAGATCACTACCGTAATCCAGTAGTAAAAATCACTCTTTATGTTGTGACATGTTTAGTTTATTGAATTTTATTTTCGATTTTCAATTCGAGTGTGTTCTAGTCAAGCAAAGAGAGAAAAGCATGTATACATAGCAAGTTATCGAAAGGTCCTGCGTTGTTGGTTTTAAAAATATTCACGGTCGCTTTATCAACTATTTAGCTGTTAGTTGTTTATCCCATTATCGGGCTATGATTAATTTATTATGTATTTGCTGTTAATATATAGAAAGAACTACGTAGCAGGGGAATGTTACAAGTCATATATTTATGTAAACAACTTATGAGTATTCTTTATTGAGCTGTTTTCCTATCAAGGATCTGCGTACCTCTGACGTTCCTCCTCCGATTTCGTAAAGTTTCGCATCTCTGAGCAATCGCCCTGTGGGGTAATCGTTTATGTAGCCATTTCCTCCTGAAATCGACAATGAGTAAATAAAATTGAAGCTGGAATTGTTAAATTTCAATATTAGTAAACTCGCTACCCATATCCGTCTGAAGCTTGAATAAATTGCAAAAATGATGAGCAAACCTAATATTTGGATGGCATCCAATGCCATTTGGGTGGCAGTTTCCGAGCAGAACAAAAACACTCCAGCGCAGTCTTTGCTGTTAATTTTTCCTTTGTCACAAGCTCGGGCGACGCTGTACAAATAGCTTCTGCATGCTGACAATTTTACGTACATATCGGCCATTTTTCCCTGAAGAAAATTGCTGGAAAACACTAAAAAAGTTTGCACAGTGCTAATTTTACCTGAATTAGCTGAAATTCGCCAATCCGCCGGTTAAATTGCTTGCGAACATGCGCATAGGAAAACGCAATGTCGCAGCAGGCCTGCATTATTCCCACAGGACCTGCAGACAACACCAGTCTTTCCAGGTCCAAGCCGCTCATCAGCACATAAACGCCTACAAAAAATTGTAAATAAGCGATTTTTGGCGCTAAGTAAGTAATTTTGCCTTTGTTTTCCACGCCTAAGATGTTCTCTTTTGGCACCGCGCAATCTTCGAAAACAAGTTCTCCAGTATTAGAGCCCCTCATTCCCAGTTTATCTAATTTTACGCCACTGCGGAAGCCATCAAATCGCCTTTCGACTAAAAAGGCCGTTATTCCGTGCTGGGGTTTTGCTCGCAGATCAGACCTAGCGTATACCTAAAAAACACATAAATGGTATTTAATAGATTTCTCGAGCGAAGTGTATGTAGATTTTTTTTTAGTGCTAACAAGGGGACGTAATTGTCTAAATTGAAATAATTAGATTTGGAAGTATTCGCCAGTTCAAACTGCAAAAGTCACGAATATTTTGGTAATTCCTTCCTGACATCCCGTATTTTAACTTTTGTTTTTAAGTTTCTAACATTAAAACAATACTTGCACACTTTTCAGTATGTTTCTCTTTGCGTAAAGGCTTAAAGCTGAGTACAAACAACTAAGTGCCGGTGCACACGAGCGTTTTTTGGGAACATTGGCTACTACCATAGATTAACTAAGTACTTTTTTTTCTGTACTCCCAAGACACCCGCAGACAACACCTCCAGAGGAATGACGCCAATTTTGAATCACCCTGTATGGCGCATCAAATCCTCTCTTAATACGGGCCCAATTTGGATCATTGGAAATTGGTTCTAAACCGAGTGCGTTTTGTCTAAAAATCGTATTTTGCAAACTTGAAATCAGTTGAGAAACTCGAAAGTCGATAAGAGTTTGAAGGTCAAAGAGACGATTCTCCAAGGCAAATGTTATCAATGTGATCTTTGCCGATTTAAGGTCGCACTTTTTTTTGGAAAATCAGCTTTTGTACGTTGAAATTTTCTGCATAACTGTTAATATGAGGCCGGCGTGGAAATTTTGAAATTTGCTGTAAAACATACGATTTTCTATAAAAACTGCATCCCGGAAAATTGTTGTTGTGTAAATAATTTTTTTTAAATTGAAAGTTTTCGAATTTCTTGAAAATCGCAAATTTACAACTTTGTCGATTAAGAGTCGAGTTTAGACCAAAACGCCACTTTTCGATAGCAAGACGTAGCTGTAAAAGCGATTCCAACCTTATATTGGATAGCGGCAACATCAAGGGAGTAAACTCAGCAACTCAGAGTGTGCAGCATTTCGAAAAAAGAAATGATTCAGAAGAAATAATGAAGAAAATCGAAAATCATTGAAAATACTGTTATATGTTATTATATCTTATACAGAAATACAAAAGATCAATACAATTGTTCGTGGAAGATAAGGGTAGTTTTTTAGAAAAAACTCGAACGTGGTCGTTTTCTGAACTGCGAAAAGACATCGAAATGAAAGACGGTCGAATAAACAGCGCTGAACATAACCTTTTACTGAAGCATCACTGGAGATAACCTAGGTTTTCACCTTCAAATGTGGGAAGTTCTGCGGATGGGCGGAGCTAACGCGTCCGGCAAACTTCTGATTGGTCGGAAGGTTTTACGCATTCCGCATTCCGGACTCATGGGAACCCAGCTTAAACTGCATCAATTTCCAAAGCTGGAACCTCAACAGCATTTCCCACTTGGTTGCGACAAGAAAGTTTATTGGGCACTAGCCGATTAGTCTAAATCTCTCACAGACAAATCTGTCGAAAATATTTCTGTTTTAAATACAGTTTTTTGTTGTTTACAGCTTTTCTCCAATTATTTCAATTTTCATTAACAACAGCACTTACGGGACCCCACAAGACGTTGCTCGGAATGCTCCAACCCTGGCCCTAAACAGCAACCAAAACACAATGAGACCGAAGAGCAATTTTAGTGGCTATCATAGAATGCTTCCGACCGGTAGGCCGGAGTTCGACAATGAGTTATGTGGACAACTTTTATAATAGTTTTGGCTTCACTCATGTCGTCACCTAGTTTTTTGTTCAATTAAAGCTGTAAATCATTGAAACATCAATCTACAATATATACAGGGTGTCTAACGAAACACCCCACTATTTGTGAGCGAATTTCTTGAATCAGGAATGATTAAGGAACGCAAAGGAGTTGAAGTGGTTTGACGAAACATGCAACAACAACAAGCAAGTTCGGAGCTTCAAAAACTACCGGCTTCAGGAGAATAGTAATTTCCATCAACATCTAGTTGCTAAAAAGGCTCGTTCTCGCAAACCGTTTCATTAAATAG